CAATTGCAGTTACACATCCAGTGAAATCTTACCAAAGTAACTACTATGACAAAAGTTCATTGTTACGGAGTCGATCTTGACTCAGAGTAACACTTTGGGCAAAATAGAACTCCATAGTTTCTCAGACTGAGTCTTTAAGGAACCAAAAGGCCACAGATGTTTCCATTGAGCAGCTGGTGCATTTGAACCATGGGACAGTTCATTAGCCACCAAGCAGTTAGTCACTGCACCACCAACCATTTCAACAGAAATAAGAACCAAGGAGTTGATTTTAAAATAATCATTTTAGTTGAATTTTTAAAGTTTATCTCTGAGGTTTATCCACCTCTCGTTCTCCCTATAGCTTTTGAATTTTTCAGTAGATTGTTTTTTATCCAGGCAAGAACCAAACCAACAAGTCAAGGTTTCCATGTTTCTAACAAAAAGCAGCTTCTGCCACCAACTGCCTCAGTATCTAAAGAACATGAAACGTTTTTCGTCAACAACTCAAAACACAGCCTCAGGCATTTTCAGCAAACATTGGTCCCTACATAGCTGCTATCATAGTGTGTTCTTCTAAAGGGAAGTGTGTATTCTTCAGTATTCTTTTGGCACCTAGCCACAGAAATCCAGAGTCAGCCAATGAGAGAAATGGTCTTGCTGGTGCAGCTCTGAAAGCAGACTTTCCCTGTCTCCGCTTCTTATGTTGCTTCTCAGTATCTGCTCACCATCTAATAAATAGCTTCTCAAAATTGAACCACTTGCTGTACAGAGGTAACTCATGGTTGCTGTGATGCTGAACACCGTGACACTGATGTTTCAAATGTGATAATGGTCACCCATGGTGGACAGTGTTTGGTGGGGCTCCCCAATTAAAACAAGCTTGGAAGCAGGAGTGGCATCCTCTTCTGAAAGAGCTTGCCTCCAGAAACTCTATGGACTTGGAGAAATGACGAAAGTTATACAAGTGTTCAGGTCTTTCGTTTATAGGGTCGCTATGAGTTTTATATGACTTGACAGCACTTAACAACAACAACAATCCCAAAGGATTAGGCCACATTCCTGCATCTTACCTAGATTATTGTAGTGGAGGATACGGAGAATGTCCATATCCCAGACACCATGACTAACCAGGCCTGTTTATGTGGTCATGTCAACCCTAGAAGACTGGTGACCAGTTGTCATGAGGGTGGACTTTACTGGCAGTTCCTCTGTATTCTCTTGAATAGGATTCAGCCCAACTCTGCCCCTTGACTGTTACTATCATCCTTTGAATATTTACAGACAAGTTCAACTTGTTGGGGGACATGTGTGAACCCAAAGAAAGAGGCACTGCTGTTGTGTCTGCTTGCTGGTAGGCCCATCCCTACTGTACTAAAGTCACTGTATTTCTGCATAATTCTATGACTCACCTCCATTCTTTCTTCCCTGCCTTTTTTAATAGACTGAGGAGAGATGGCCATCTGACTGGTGGTTGCAAGTAGCAGAGCTGGTTTGGGCTCTTCATCCTAAGCTTGTGGAGGTATCTGGTCCCAATTGCTCAGGAATTTTATGAATGTGGGATAATTAAAACCACTTTGTCCTTGTTTGGACCCCAGTCATTCTTTATGGAACATCAGAAAAAGTTCCACACAGCAACACACCTATAAAAGCTAATGTTCTTATACTTTTTTTTTTTTCAGATGCAGATACATTCATTTATTGTAGTTCTTATACTTTTTTTAAAAAGTCCACCTATTATTCATGCTCCTTTTTATTTTCAACTGTATATTCAATGTTCTTGTGGGAGTAGAATTACTGCAAAAAATGATATGAGGATGGCAGCTACCTCCTTTACCTTCAACGAGGGCAGACAGAAGAGAGAACACCTGTATAAGCAACCTAAGGTGGGTTTCTGAAATGGACATCAGACTTCTTTCCTCCAACTTTTCCACAAATCTGCCATGAGGCTTCCCTCCCACAGCAGTCTCTGCTTCTCTGCTGGGTTCAGTAATTAGAAGCAATGACCACAGAGAAGACAGACAATATTCATAATTATGGGATCTACTAAAGAAGTAATAGTTCAGGATCAGAAATTACTCCAAGTCAAGTTCTTCCATGAAGACTCTGATGAGCAGTGTCGACAGGCTGGTAGTATATCAGTCCCATGGCCCCTGCACTTCTTATATCAGGGTTACACAGCCTTAAGCTCTACCAGTAAGAGTCACTATTACAATGTGCTCTGATTGCATAGCCTGTAGGAAGGTGATCTGCTGATCCCAAGGCCTGGGCTCCCTGGCAGTTTGAATCTACTAGGAACTCCACAGAAGAAAGATGAGCAATCTCTTCCTGTGGAATTTTCAGCCTTAGAAGCCTGCTGGAGGGTCAGCTAGGCATCAATCTCAACGTGAGAACAATGAGTTTGAGGACTTTTTCTAGTAAATATTCAGAGGCATCCCCACTGCCCCACTGTACCAGTAAGCCTCTGCCTAGAGACACTGCCTCCTTGGGTCACTATCAGCTCTATCTCCCTGGGTAGCAAATTTCATCCAGCGGCACTTCAGTCCTCCTTCAAGCCACCAACCACTCAGATGTCTCCCTCCATGAACCACCAAGGTCAGCCTCTGTGCCTCTGCCTTCCTCTTAAGAAACTCTTGCCATCTCAGGAATCTATCTCAGTGATTCAGTGAACTCAGATCCAAAGAACACACCCCACTCCCGGGTCTTCTTTTCCAGTGGTTGTGAAAGCTCCCATTTTCTGCCTCTGAGATGATTCACTTTAATCATATTAGACTGGCAGAATTGATCAATCCTTTCAGTTTGAAGACTAAGGTGATCCTGATTCAGTCCATGCTCTTGTCCATCACTTGCTATGCGTCTGAGAGTGGGACAATGAGTAAGGAAGACAAAAGAAAAATTGATGCCTTTGGGCTGTGGTGTTGAAGAAGAGTGCTGAGTATTCCATAGACTTCCAAAAGAACAAACAGTTGTCTTGAAGAAAATGCAGTAAGAATACTCTTTTAGAGGCAAAAATGACAAAGCTTTGTCTCACATATTTCAGGCATGTTAGTAGGAGAAGTTGGTCTTTGGAGGGATAGATCATGCTTGGAAAGGAGAAGGTTGGTGCAAGAAAGGAAAATCCTCAATGAGAGATTGACACAGTGACCACAGCAACACACTCACACATATCAGAGTTGGAGTTCACAGGTACCTTAGTCTATGTCTTAAATTTATGGGGATATACTCAAATTTCCAAGTAGAAATTTTGGGCTGAGAAATAAAACTATTTTCCCAAGTTTCAAAAACATCTGCTAGCTCCTAATGCATAAATCTTTTAACAGTAATGAACAAGGTCAGCTATAGATTGGTGCTGACTCCATGGCACACAAAACTACATGGCCTTAGTAAGGCTGGATTAGGGAAGTTAAGTTAATGAGCAAAGATATGATCTACAAGAATAGATTACATTTTGAGTCAAGCTAGAGAGCAGAGGAATCTGCTACCACCAAGAAAGAAGAGCTAGGAGTAGAGCTCTTCCTTTAGACCTGGGGTCCCTGTTCTGAGAACCTCCTAGACCCAGGGAAAGATTGACATCAAAAGAGATGGTCTTCTCTAAGGGGCACAGAGCCAGCAGATGTTAACAGGAGACAAGGACCTTCCCCCAGAGTGACAGAGAGAGAGAGAGAGGTTCTCCTACTAGAGCTACACTCTGATTTCAGACTTCTAAACTGTAAGAATAAATTGTTCTTTGTTAAAGCCATCCATGTGGTGTTTCTGCCATAGCAGCACTAGGTAACTAAGACGCCCACACAAGACTCACAAAATAACAGGAGACATGTGAGTGGGGGGGGGGCGGGGGGGGGGGAAGAGAAAGGAAGGAAGAACATATTTGCCTAAAAGTTGTTCTAAATATTTATATTCCAAAGCCTAGAAAATTGATATGGTAGGAACATTGATTGGATATAACACTTCACTTCTTTAATTCCTCATTTGTTTCACAAGTATCAAAATGTTTATGTAAACTGACAGTAAGTGTTACAGTCTGCTAGAAGGCAGGAATCCATCCTCTTCACTGATCGGCAGTTTTGTTTTATTTTGTTTTGTCGTCTGAGGATTGGAATAGAGAAGATAAACATGAGAATCTTTCTGTCTGATACACTGTTCTATTTTTGTCTCATTTTCATTTCTGTTTTGCTAACTTGCTTCTCTTTTCTTATGTGCAGTTGAGCACAATATCTGCTTGAAGTAAAAAAGTAACACACTGATTGGGTAAATCATAAACCAAGAATTCAAATCCACTGCTGTCAAGTTGATTCCAGCTCTCAGAGAGCCTATAGCATAGAGCAGGATGAGACTGGAAGACTTCATGGAAACAGATTGGAACAGCTTTCCATTCTCAACTGGTGGGTTTGAACTACCAGCCTTTCATTTAGGATACTAAAGTTTTTATTACCATGTCAACGGGGATCTTTGCACATTCTCTCTTCCCAAAACCTCAGGACTTCGGGACCTCCTGAAATCACCCATCCATCTTTCCAGCAGAAGTTTGCACCAAACTATAGGAGGACAGTTTATTACTTCCCAAAATTTCCTGGGAAGGTTTTTAATGAGCCAAATACTTGATTTGATTTGGCTCACTTCACAAGTGTCAGACAAAAGAGTATTTCACTTTCAAGGGAAATTATAGACACACACATACACATTCACACACTGTTGCTGTTACAGCTCGTTACCATCAAGTCCATACCCACTCATAGTGACCCATATGTGCACTGGAGATCTGAGCTCCATGGATATTTCAAGGCTGGACCACCAGCACTTTCTTCCTAAGTTCTTCTTTGTGAGTTCCTACAGCCAACTTCTCAGCTGAGAAGAGAGCGAGGACCATCTCAATTTCAAGAATTAGATGCACAATTTTGGCTGCAAGATTGGCAGGCAACCAAGCAAAACAAATTCGTAGAGAGGAGTCTACATCGATGCTCACACGGATTCTCTAGCTGTGACGTTGGTCCAAGCGCAGCCCAGCCGTGGACAGGGTGGTCCTATGGAGAAGAAAACTGGCCAAAGAACAGGATAGCGCTGGACTCATTGTGCCTGATGAAGAACAGGAAAGGGTGGTCACAGTGGAACATTTCTAAGTCCGAGGCTGTGGCGGTGGTGAAGCTGGCACCAGTGCCCGTCGTGGCCTGTGTGCCATCCTCGGTCACCTCCACGAAGGACCGGTGCAGGAACTTCTGCGCGTGCAGCCCGGAGCCAGGCGACATCCCCGAGTAGTCCGCACACCGCTCACTGAAGGCGTCCCCCAGCCCCAGGGCGCTCAGCGAGTCCTTCAGGTCGTAGGTGTCCTGCACCTGGAACCTGGGCAGGTGCACGCTCACAGTCCTCTTCTCCAGGTACCCGGGGCTGGTCCACTCCACCAGCTGCTCAGGGCTTACTTGGTCTACAATCTAGTGTACAAGGGAGGAGGGCAGAGTGGCACGGTTAGTCAGCAAATGTCAAAGTAACGTAATGCTGAATTGAGTCACAAAAATAAATAAATAAACAAATAAACAAATAAATAAAAATAAACCCACAATCCAGTCAGAACTGACTCCTAGCTGACCATCAGCTGGGTTTCTGAGGCTATAAATTATACAGAGGAGATTGCCCATCTTTCTCCCACGGGGCTGCAGCAATCAGAAACTACCAGCTTTTTCTGTTTAAATCGTCTGTGTTAGTATAATGAGATCCTTCGTGGCTGGGTGGGGGAGGAGATCGGTTAACCCAAAGGCAAGCAGTGCAAATCCACGAGCAGCCCTACAAAAGAAAGGGGAGCGGGAGCTCTGGTGTCCTAGCGGCAAGAAGCTGCACTGCAATCCCAGAGATACGTGGTTCAAATCCAGCAGATGCTCTGCCGGAGAAGGAGGGGCCATTTCCTCCTATACCAGTCAGATCCAATTTGACGGTACACACACCGAGAAAATAATAAAATAAATCAAAATT